ACTCAGATGTACCAAGAACCACGAAGATGCATAGGGTTGGGCAGTGTTTCATCCTGTCATACAGTATGTAAGGCCTCCCTCCATAAGTTGGACAGCACCTAACAAGAGCTTCTCAGTACAGCCCAAAGCTCCTCTGGTTTCTCTGTCTTTGCAACAAACTTCTGCATAGGGAAATTGATTCCCATTAGCATCCTGTCCTATGCTCACAACTGGCAAATATTCCTGGGGGGAAAATTACTTTCAGAAAGTTAGCTCACTTCTATGAATTTTCCTCATTCCTGGGTTTGTTTTTTTAATGTCTTTATACAGATAAATTATGTATATTTATACCAGCGTGTTTGTGTATTAATGTCTCCTTTCTAGTTATCTTAATTCCCTTTGCTCTGTTTTCCCATAATGTCAATATCTTATTTAACCATGGAATATTTATTAAAACTAATGTGGGTGCACTACTTTTAACTAAACTCCAGATGTTATTTCGATTTCACCAATGTGAAGTCACTAGTTGTAAACATTTTATACATCCTTTATATAAGTTTGTGCTGTTTTCTTTCTTTTCAGAACTAATGGCTGAAGAGTAAATAAATCAACATGGCAACTATGGTTCCACCAGTGAAACTGAAATGGCTTGAACACTTGAACAGCTCCTGGATTACCGAGGACAGCGAGTCGATTGCTACCAGAGAGGGAGTTGCTGTTCTGTATTCTAAACTAGTCAGCAACAAGGAAGTAGTACCTTTGCCCCAACAAGTTTTGTGCCTCAAAGGACCACAATTGCCAGACTTTGAGCGTGAATCTCTTTCAAGTGATGAACAGGACCACTATTTGGACGCCCTTCTCAGTAGCCAGCTAGCCCTGGCAAAGATGGTCTGCTCTGATTCCCCATTTGCTGGGGCACTTCGGAAACGACTGCTTGTTCTCCAACGTGTCTTTTATGCACTTTCTAATAAATACCACGACAAAGGCAAAGTGAAACAGCAGCAGCATTCTCCGGAGAGCAGCTCTGGTTCAGCAGATATCCATTCTGTTAGTGAACGTCCACGGTCAAGCACTGATGCACTTATAGAGATGGGCGTGCGAACTGGCCTAAGTTTATTATTTGCACTTCTAAGACAAAGTTGGCTGATGCCTGTGTCGGGACCTGGTCTGAGTCTTTGCAACGATGTTATTCATACTGCAATTGAAGTTGTGAGCTCATTGCCACCATTATCTTTAGCAAATGAAAGCAAGATACCTCCTATGGGCTTGGACTGCTTATCACAAGTAACAACATTTCTTAAAGGCGTAACTATTCCCAATTCTGGGGCAGACACTTTAGGTCGTAGGTTAGCTTCTGAGTTGCTGCTTGGTTTAGCAGCTCAGCGGGGTTCTTTGCGGTATCTTCTTGAGTGGATAGAAATGGCGTTGGGGGCTTCGGCGGTTGTGAATACCCTGGAGAAAAGCAAACTACTATCAAGCCAGGAAGGAATGATCAGCTTTGACTGCTTTATGAGTATATTAATGCAGATGAGGTGTTCCTTGGTAGGTATTTTAAATAGCAGCTTTAAAACATCAACTTTGGGAAAATCAGCGCAACTTTTAATAATTAATTGATGGTAGCACGAACAAATACTTTGGTGATTAAGATAGGTAATATTTTAAATGCTTTGAGTAGAGAAACTTTTGTGCATGTTTGTTATGCATTGTAATTCAGAGCCGGGCTCGTTGGTATGGTATTAAAGACCATTGGATCAGGAGTCAAGCTTATAGTTTTACAGCTTCATAATTATATGAGTGTGTTAGTCCAGGTAGCCTATAGACACAAATTCATGGGCATTCATATGTGTATAAGAAAGAGCTTTATATACAAGAGCAATTGACTATTGAGTATCCATCCCAGATCCAGTCCTTAAGTCCGATATTAGCCCATATGTCCAATACCAATCTATGAAGTCCTCTTCTGACTCACGAAACACATGCAAGGACGCTGAGTGCAGGAAGATCACAGGCCAGTGGGTGGGAAGTCTTGTGGATCCAGTGACAGCGTAAGCCTCTCAACACTGGCAGAGGTCTCCATGTGGCTTTTCCGGCATCACGGGTCTAGCAGAGTTCCATGAGTCTTGCCAGGTGAGAGTCTCTCAGGGAGTGAGCTGCGAGGGAGGGAGAGAGAGAAAGTCTCCTGATTCCAGGGAGGAATACAGGAGGTCCCAGAATCCTCAGAAGGCCATGCCTACACAGAGGCCTCATTGGTTGGCTATCACCTGATTGACAGGCCTAGACTCCACCCCTTCACTCTTAATCCTCAAATTGACAAATGGCTATATAACTACCATAATGAGCTTGGGAAATAATTCTAATTTCTTGGTATTTTGGTGACTAATAGGTCAAATAAGGAACCCTCTGGCACAGTGGTTAAGCAGTGGGCTGTTCGGAAAGGTTGGCAGTTTGAACCCACAAATGTGCTCCATGGGAGACAGAAATGACAGAAGCAGTCTGCTCCTTAGAGATTTACCGTCTTGGAAACACTAGGAGGCAGTTCTCATCTGTCCTACAAGGTGGTAACCAAAATCCAGAATTGTGCTGGGTGGAGGAGCTGAGCTTTCATAGTATGCTTTTTAGTTAGGTGAGCATCATGCAACTTGCTCTGAGTGCACCCAGTGCCATCGCCTGGGAAGGTTCTCTCTGGTCACAGTGAATTTTTTCATAAAAGCAGTTTTGCTCTAGCTTAGTTTTTCGTGATGGCTAATTTAAGAGAACAGCATGTGGCTGTGAAATTTTGTTTCATGCTCAGGAAACATGCCGCAGAAATTGTTGTGATGTTGAATGCAGCTTACAAGGACAGCACAATGGGAAAAACTCAAGTGTACAAGTGGTTTTCTCATTTCAAAACGTGAAATGTCAATTGATAACAAACCTCATTCTGCATGTCCATCAACTTCCCGAAGGGACTAAAGTGTCAACTTGTAGTGTATCTGGAGTTTGTTCCACCAGGTCAGACTGTTAATCTTTCAATATAGAGGTTCTGAAATGATTGCATAACTGTGTGACCAAGAAGGCTTTATTTGTGGTAGCCGGGGGACTGGTTTTGCCACCATGACAATGCATCTGCACATGCAGCCAGTTTTTGGCAAAAAACCCCAGCATGCCCCATGCACCTTATGCACCTGACCTCACTTGACTTCGCTCCTTGTGACTTCTTTTTGTGTTTCTGTGAATGAAGAGGGACATGAAAGGACAGTGATTTCATGACCTTGAAAAGGTGAAGAAAAAATGAGGGCGTTGCTGTCAGCCATCCCAACAGAAGAGTTTGAAAAATGTTTCCAAGAATGGAATCGCAGATTTGACAGATGTATTAAGTGTAATGGATAGTACTTTGAAAATGATAAGGTGGTTTTGTAAATACATAGCTTGGGGGAGGGTGGGGGATTCCAGGCTTTTGGGGGTACCCCTCATATAGGTTTGCTGTAAGTCAGAATTGACTTGATAGCAACAGGATTGGTTTCTTTGTTTGTTTGTAAAATGAGGACTCCTTGGCTAATGAGTGTGAATCTTTTGAAAAAATTCAGTTTCACCTACCCAAATTTTTATCAAATTCTTTGAGTAAAGAACCTTTTATGCATGTTAGTATCTAGGACTAGGCTACTTGGTGTGGTATTAAAGACCACTGGTTCAGGAGTCGGGATTATACTTGTACAGCTTCATAATTATTTGAGCTTGGGAAATTCTTCTAATTTTTTTGTATTAAATTTTATCCACCCCATATTAAGCATTTTTTATGTGCCAAATAGCCTTCTAGGCACTGGGGATACAACAGAGGAAAATAAGACTTTTTGGCCTAGTGGAGCTTACAGCCTAGTGAGAGTTTATATAGCCTGAAAGACATAATTTCAGATGGTGATAAATACTAAGGTGAAAAATAGGAAAAGGAAAAGGTAGATCACAGAGAGTAAATAATAGGTTCAGGAGAGAGGTGAGGAGGGGGAAAGAGTGAGTGCTATTAGTGGGGTCAGGAAAGGACATGAATGAAGGGAAGATGGAACTGAAAACGTGTGTTCTAGACAGAGTTCCTTGACTCTTATAAAGAAACTAATGAGTGAAAAACAAGATATAGTACAACATGATCCATTTCAAGAATTTATAAGACTGAATTATAGTAACCTTTTGAAAACCAAACATGAGTTCAGAATATAAATACAAACAGACTACTAAGAGTGACACACAGAATGACTTCATTTCACTTAGGCTACATTGTTTAATCTTTTTGCTGTGCTTTTTTACCAATGGTCAATAAATATGCAAGCACTTAGTTAAAATAACAATTAAAATGTCTCCTTCAAGTTATGTGTGTATAACTCAAGGGCGCACCCCCCCTTCAGTGGAAAGCTCTTCAACACAAATGTTTCATAAAAAACAATTACATTGTATGTATTTATTTTCAAATTAGGCATTAGAATTTTTGCCAGTTTTACATTTTGCATTTGTGAATAGAATGATACATTTAGGCCATTTAGGATAATTTTTTTCATAGTTAAGTACTTGGATCATAAAATTTTAGATGATAAATTCTATAAAAATTTCAATTTCTAATGATTAATGAAAATGGTAAGACAAGAGAAGCATGTAGTGTTTTGTGCTATAAAATGTTGAAAATGGGTCTTCTTACTTGCACTGAGATGAGCCCTAGAGCCCAGGATGCTGTGATGGGACTGAGAAAGACGTAATAGAACAGGTGCGGAAAGCAGCTAGGCCCCTTTATGTGTTTTATCATATTTAAGATTTAGATTCTCTCAATTGTTTTACTCATTTTATTTTAAAAATGCTTGTTGATAACATTCTCTTTACTGACACTGCTTTTAATGTTAAGCCACTTAAAAACCTAAAATAATATACTGATTCAGAGTTACAAGTCACTTAATTCCTCATTTCATGGCTATTCATTTTGCATTGCCTTGTTACAAGTATAGTATGCATCTCTAATTAAGCACTACGCTGTAGGTGAACTGCTCTACATAATTCTCACAATCTCAATCTGTAAAGCCATGCTTTCTCTTACCAGTATATACAGGATGATCATATGATAAATAATACATTAATTTTCTACACATAAAAGCCTATCTTAAAATAAACATAAAATATAACAAATTAATTTTATTGTTGGATTTCCAATTTTCTCTCTACTTGGCCTCTATGATTATGGACAAAATACCAAATATACCTAGTGAGAGAGGCAATATCCTCCTTACATTCTAATCCTACATACAGTTTTTTAATCAGAGGAAGCCGCTGCAAAGAATTAGATTGCTTTCCTAGAATTTTGGAAATATTCTTGGGTCAAATCTTGAGCTGGATTTCGTTTAACTCTCTACGAGTCACTCTAGGCCTACATTAAATGAAACTTAATTAAATCTCATATTGGCTGTAGGGGAAAGGAATGATTACTGAATTTTTTTGTACAGTCTGTGATTAAGTGATGTTTTGGTTTCTGTAACTCGTTTTATTTTAAATGGGTGTTATCATTTTTCTTTCAATTTAGTCTGTTAACTAGTGCTATTTTGGGTATTGGGTTGATCGCGAGCCTAAGCAACCCCATGTGTGCTCAGTCTGGGTTTCAAGGCTGTGATTCTTCACACGTGGATCTCCAGGCCTGTCTTCTGGTGGAGTTTAACTGCCAACCTTTCCACGATGAGTGGCGCATTTCACCATTTGCGCTACTCGGGGAACTCAACTATCCCCGTTGCTGTCGCTCTGACTCAGAGTGAGCCTGCAGAGGGTTTCCGGGGCTGTACATCTCTACAGGAGCAGACAGACTTATCTTTCTTCTTCACCCATCTTTCGTATGCTTTACTTTGTTGTCTGAGAACTTAGAAAATATCTAGAACTCCTCCTGTTATGCTGGGCCCCACCTGACCTGTTCCTTACTGTGTAGTTTTCCGACCGGAACGGCTTTCAAGTTAGAGGGAGAAACACAGTTATATTTACTTGTTTGATTCTTAAGCTCTGCCATTCCTCCCGTTCCCCCATCCTCACCATTAATTGTGTTGGAGTAGGAGCTTGTGAGATACTTATTAACTGATATTTAAATATGGGCACATTATTCAGAAAGACCAGTAGCTAAAGGATATCATGTTTGGTAGAGGGCCAGCATAAGCAAGGGACCCTCAGTGAAATGAATGGACATGATAGCCGCCCCAACAGATCGAAACACAGTGAGCGAACAACTGTGAACATGAAGCACGACCAAGCAATCTTGTGTTCCATGTACGTAAAAATTGCTATGAGTTGGAGTTGGCTTGGCAGCTACTTAAAACAACAAATGATATCACTGTTTATCTTCAAATTCTAAAAAACAATAAAAACCCTTCTGACCTCCGATGCTAGTAGGTGTTTACTGGCCACTTTGTGTCCAATACTGGTATACACCTTGTGTTAAAAAGATAAGCCAGTAGTGCCCATAACCTCTAGCAGCTTACAGTTGAATGAATGAGAGATGTACAATTTCAACCTAATGATAATGGGCTGTTGGTGGAGGTCTGCACAAAGAGACTAGGGGTCATGGGAAGAGGCCCAGAGGGAAATGTGCAAAAAAACCAAACAAACCCAAAAAACCCTAACACTGAGATTAGTTGAGAATTAGCAGTTTGCTCCCAAACTTGAGATCTGTGAGTGAGGAGAACTGGAGAAGTTTTGATCTGAGAGGACCAGAAGTCACAGAGTACCAGACACTGGGAAAACAAGCCCCTGGATGTATGCTTTGGGATGTGATGTGATATAGGTAGTAGAGCGTTATGGAAGCAGTTTTAAATAGAGTGAAACTACGTAGCAGGAACGTAAGGAAATACACTCGTTAGTCTTTGCTCTTTTTGTAATGTCTGAAATGGACAAACATGAAAAAACAAAAAAAAAAACCTAAACATTATTTTGGATGGTAGATATTTAAGAAGTAATTAAAAGGAAAGCCAGTGAAACTTCAAATTAATTTGTTGATCTGAGAGGACCAGAAGTCACAGAGTACCAGACACTGGGAAAACAAGCCCCTGGATGTATGCTTTGGGATGTGATGTGATATAGGTAGTAG